CAGACTAAAAAAGCTTTTGAGAATAACAGAATATTTAGATTAAGGTAAAGATATAATAATATTTGTAGATCTGACTGACAGTCAGTGCCTCGCCAGCCATAAGCCTCACCCCACAATTACTACATGGCGAATGTGCTCTTGTATAGAAAAAAATAAACTTAAGGTCATTACAAATATGTTATCATGTGCATGCTCATGAATATGGAAATGTACTTAAAAAAATCATTTATATTGCTAAATTGCAGCATTTAAATTGGAGGATTTTATTTAGCATTTCCGAGTGCTCAAAGAGGCTTTACATTACAGTATTGGTTGGCTGCATTGCATATCATATGTTCTGGGTTGGTTGACAGATTAATAAACAGACATGCTTATTATAACTGTATTCAGCTTTTCATACTTTGACCACTATACACTATATGCATCCTAACCGATCCTAACCCTAAAACAAGTACTTCCTGTTGTAAGGTGATATACGGCGTTCAAGCCTCAGCGTCTGGTAAAGTGAAGGTCTTGACAGTAAACGGACTAAATATGAAGGTGATCTGATTAACCTGCTGAGAGCTGTAAGCAAAGTCTAGCAACAATAATGTCCTGTGGCAGTATGACTATGATTGAAAATTGTCTTCTCATCAAACTTTTGAAGTTTTGACCACGTAGAGTTGAGTAACAGCGGTTTCTTGTTGGTGGTGAAGGATTGAAAGCAGCCAAGCTGTAACACCCAGATACACAACTTTCACTATTAAGCTTTGTTAAAGCATATAGATCTGCAGTTATTAAGAACAACAGATCAAGATTAAACCAGAGGTTCTAGACCATTTGGATTTAGACCACATACAAACCAGTGCCAGTTTTGCCATGTTTCAGATACATGTGAGATGTTGGCAGTATAACACCCTCCCCACTTAACTTCTCCCATGGGTTTATTTAAATAACAAGAGAAAACCCCAAAAGAAGAACAAATAAGAGAAGATCTTTTTTTCCCCTTCTTTCCTTCCTTTAAATCATCACATTACACCTCAGATTTCTCAGAGGACTAAAAGATGTGATAAGTTAGTATTAACCTTTAAGGGTTCTAATGATTGCTTTACGTCAGATTACTGACAGACTGCAGAGCAATGTTAGTCTGAGATAAGAGAGCAGCTGATAGTCACTACAAGCCTCATGAATAAACGGAGACAAGACACAGGCCATCCCACTGAAATAACAGGGACATACATTTAAGGAAAGAGAGGTTGTGTTTGAAATGATTAGAGTTTCATATTTACTTACTTTTATAAAAGAGTAATGTTGAGGAACAAGTTTAATCCCATTGTACTCACAGTCACATTTGTTTTAATCATGTTGATATGAGATTTTGTAGAGACAGACTTTCTCACAAGACAAAACAGTTGCAACTAAAAGATTACTTTTCATGTTTTATGCAAATAACAATATGTCTCCAGCTCACAGTTTGGCACACAGACAGAAGAAACAAAGTTAAAAAAACAAACATTGTCTTTATACATAAAACTAGAGCTTAGAATTACAAAAAAACATACTTTTCATAAAAGTCTTATGTACAGCTGGCCTCCTATAAACACTGTTCTTCAGACACACTGCCAAATGCTAAGTGGCCTTATAGGCTTTTAGAGACTTAGCGTTAATACCTGTTTTAATCATTGGATTTAGTTTTAAATTCCGAAAAGATATGAATCTGCAGTAGATCTATCAATTTTAAGAAAAATGTACGCCCGTTAAGACAAGAGCAGCAGCATGTGGAATGAGTTCATATACAAGGTTTGTATTGTTAACTCATCTGGGAATGTTGAGGTGTGTAAAGTGTTCACGTTGGTTCAGTGGTTCCCTTCAACCTGCAGTCACCAGAGGCTCGTTGTTCAGAGGGGTGGGGGCTTCCTGTATGTCCGGACCCCCAACACAACTGCACATCCTCAAATCCAGAAGATCTGTTTCACTTTGCCGAAGAATGTCACTGAAGAAACAACTTCCCAGCCTTCAAAATGTGTTCTACTCCTCCTCCACAGCAGCAGCGTTTTGACAAAGTACAATACATCTTTTTAGAGCCTATAAAACCCTGGGTTTGTAAACTGCTATTTAGTTCTGAAGCGGGAGGCAGTTTGAGAAATACTGCATAGTCCATTTCAGTGATTCAGCTTCCACTAAAGAGTCCATGAGAGGAGCAGGAGGGGGGGGAGCAGCAGAGAGAGGGGGGGTGCAAGGCCCCTGCAGGACGAAGAGCGATACCACTGCACCTCCTGAGAGTCATCTGAGAGAAAGAAAAACAAACTCAAATTATTATCACCATTTTAACTTTCTGATATGATCACTTCTTTACTCTGGTGTGAGTCTGCTTCACTTTGTATTTATCAGATAAACATTATTTGTTTAGTGTTGTTAATTATCTATACTGCATCTGTTCATTTTGCTGCAATAACACTTTCCCAACACGGAACGTTTTTTTTGTTTCTTTTATTATTTATGGTCAGGTTAATTTGGCATTCTTTAGTTCCTGAGATACATTTCACTGGAAGGCACACCATGAGAAACACTGTATGACATGTACAAGTTAAAACAAGAAAAATATAGAGCAAAAAGTTCAAACAAGAAAAATATAGAGCAAATACACATGAATATGAGTCTTACTAAATACATGTGAACTCTTTTAGTAAGTGACCCATACTAAAACTCACACTCATTTGTTGTATTTTCCTATATACAAATATTGCAATATGTTAATAAGCGTATGATTAATAAATATGCAGAAGGTCACACTGATCATTATTTCCAGAGATACATGTTGACTTTACAGGAGACTACATTTCCGTTTTCGGTTATATTAAATTTCCAAACATCAACCAAAGACAATCATTAAGCAGTACATTCTTTTTTTTCCTTACCACCAATCAATTTAATTAACCACACTACTGAAGAGATGAAAAAAACGTGGTGTTCTTCCTTGGATAGCGGTACCATCATCTTTTAGTGGCTTAGTTCCTCTACTTTATGGGATGTTTGTGTGCCAACATGCTGAGAGTTCTGCATGTTGGAATAAAGCTTTGACATGTAAATGAGTAGTCAGGGCTGTTAAGATGCGTTCACACTCAGTTGGAGTTTTCTCTGAACACCTGGGGCATTTTCTGTTTTGGATAAAATGTGTGAACGACAGTTCTAGAGCAGCCTGACTGCGGGGTGTGGTCCACACCCATCAGGCCGTTCACCTGAAACACTGCCGAGCAGGGGAACTCCCAGCTGTCCCAGGAGGAGAGTCTCTGCCTGGGGACCCATGTTCCTGTGAGCACTGTGTATCACATTAATGCACACTATATGTACTGTATCTTCTTCATTTTAATACTGAGTCCCACACAACCCTCCAAATGTTGTACATTGTTCACAAAGCTGCCTCTTATAATACCTGCATGGCTTTCTCTTTTTCATACCAATACTGTATATATATTTCATTTTATTCTATTTTATTTGTAAGGGTAGTTTGTCATATTATACTGTATGTCGTTTTTAGGTATATCTTTATGTCATGAAAATATTTCTTTATATGTTAACATTATAAAAACAATTTTTAAATATTTCTTTCAATTTATCTCTTTTAACCATTTATGTTGCCCCATATACACCAAGGGAAATTCCCCATGTGTGTTTACCTACTTGGCAATAAACCGGTTTCTCATTCTGCCCCAAGTTTTTGTCTTTGCTGTGGGACATCCTAAAAATCTGTGGGGGTGTAACTTACCACAGTCTTTGTGGAAGACGTGGGGGAAGCAGTGCAGAGTGCCGTAACCACAGCGACAGTACGAGCAGCCCTTCTGAACCCACTCCCCATGAGGGATGGCCCCGCAGCTCCTGCAGGCACACAGAACATTTAGAACAACATCTCTGTGAGGGAGTGAGAGGTGAGAGATGGGTGTGAGTGTGGTGTTTACCTGATGCGCTGGTCGTACTCGCAGCTCCTCCCAGTGAAGAAGGGGGGGCAGGCGCAGAAGCTGCCCAGGATGCAGGTCCCTCCGTTTTTACAGCAGCTGCGGCTCTGCTCAGCGCCTGAGAGGAAACACCACATTAGAGGAAACACCAACATTAGAGGAAACACGACATTAGAGGAAACACGACATTAGAGGAAACAACAACATTAGAGGAAACACCAACATTAGAGGAAACACCACATTAGAGGAAACAACAACATTAGAGGAAACACCAACATTAGAGGAAACACGACATTAGAGGAAACACCAACATTAGAGGAAACACCAACATTAGAGGAAACACCAACATTAGAGGAAACACCAACATTAGAGGAAACACGACATTAGAGGAAACACGACATTAGAGGAAACACCGACGTTAGAGGAAACACCAACGTTAGAGGAAACACCGAAATTAGAGGAAACATCAACATTAGAGGAAACATCAACATTAGAGGAAACATCAACATTAGAGGAAACACCGAAATTAGAGGAAACACCAACATTAGAGGAAACACGACATTAGAGGAAACACGACATTAGAGGAAACACAACATTAGAGGAAACACCAACATTAGAGGAAACACAACATTAGAGGAAACACCGACATTAGAGGAAACACGACATAA